GTGTCTCTTCAGCAGCTCGGCCTTCACGGAGGCCAGTGCGTCCCTGTCAGCAGTAGCGAAGACCAGGTCCTCTACGTAGACAAGGATGTAGAACAGAGTCTGGCCGGAACGCAAAAACAACGAGGGGTCAGCAGAGGACGGAAAGAACTGCAGGTCTGCTAGCGTGGCACGCAGCGTGTCGTGCCACTCGCAGGGAGCCTGGCGCAGGCCGTAGACCGGGCTCCTGAGAAGCCACTGGGTCCCAGTGGGGAAGGTACCAGTGAAGCCCTGTGGTCAGCGCAGGTAGACCTGCTCGTGTAGGCTGCCCTGAAGAAAGGCAGTAGAGAAGTCGAGGGAGTGAAGCTCGTAGTCGCGCTGTGCTGCTACGTGTAGCAGCACCCGAAGAGTGGTCATCTTCGGGATCGGGGCGAAGGTCTGGAAGAAGTCAAACCCCTCGCGCTGGCTGAAGCCACTGGCCACGTAGCGCGCCTTGAAGACAGGTGGCTCTCCAGGGGGGCGCTTCACCTTGAAGAGCCACCGACCATCGACTACGTTCACCCCAGGCGGGGGAACTGCGTCGACGTAAGTGCCGGTGGACCTCCAAGATGCCATCTCCTGCTCCATGGCAGCTATCCACTGAGAGGCCCAAGGTCCCGAGGTGGCCTCAGCGTAAGTGCGAGGGGTCGGGATGTCGAAGGCGTCTGGGTCACCCTCTGGGACTAGGAGCATGGAGCAGAGATGGGGAGCGGCCTCGGAAAGGAAAGCAAGCTCGTACTACCGGTCCTCTAGAACGTCACTGCCAAGGGCAGGTGCACCCCCGACGGACGGAGGACGGGCAGGGTCACAGACCAGAGCGGTAGCGGAGTCAAGGCGGTGGGTAGAGGCGAAGTCAGCGACAGCCGCGACAAGCGCGTTAAGGCGCGAGACAGGAACAGACGGGTCTGTAACAAGAGAGGCAAGAACCCGAGGGACAAGGGGACGAGCAGCATGGAGGTAGTCAGATAGCGGGGGAGGTGCAACAACAAGCGACGAGGGAGGAGGCGACGGGAGGAGGGGAGGACGAGATGAGTGGGAACGGAGCAACATAGGATGGGAGCGCAGGACAGGAGAGACGGGACGAGCACGGGAGGGACGGCGAGAAGAAACCTGGGACGGAGGTGTAGGGTCAGGAGACAGGGGAGGGGATATAAAAGGGGAACGAGGAGGAAGACGGGCCGGAGACGAGTCCGGCGGTGAGAACACAGGGCCGGAGACAGGAAGGTGAGAAGGTGGTGGGGGAGACACCGGCGAGCGGTCGGGGGAGGGAAGGCCGAGCAGGCGAAGAGCGGAGACCGGCGGCGACGGCTGCGGCGGCTGCTGCGGCGGCTGGTGCGCAACCCGCGGACCGGCAGGAGCACGACGGCCGCTAGGAGAACACTCAACAGCAGCACCCCCAGAACCAACACCCCCAGAGCGAGAACCCCCTCCAGCACCGGCGCTACCCCCAGGCCTGCCGGTACAGACCACGCCCGGGCCGCAGGACGAACACCCTCCTCAACGCCAGCACCCCCAGAGGCCAAGAGCTGCAGCGGCGGCAGCGGCGGCGATGGCGGCGGCGGCGATGGCGGCAGCGGCTGCAACGGCGGCGGCGGCGGCTGCGGCTGCGACAGCAGAGGCGGAGACACCGGGGAAGGGGGACGCGGCAAGGACGGGCCGGGGGGACCACCAGAGTCAGCAGACTCCTCAACGGGGACAACCGACAGGAGGGGAGTGACATGGGAGACACGAGACGAGGCAGGACGAGGCGGGAGGGGAGCAGGGGCTACTGGGAGAGAGGGAGCCAGGAACAAGAGGGGGGGAACCGGGAGACCTCGGTGAGGGAAGCGACGGTAGAAGGAGACAGACTCGTCAAAGGTGACGTCACGAGAGTGAAGGAAGCAGTGAGATTGCGGGTGGTAGAACAGCCAGTCAGACGAGTCCAGGGGGAAACCGAGGAAGACACAGGGGACAGTGCGGGTAGTGAGCTTGTCCGTGCCAGAGGCACAAACGTGAGCAAGGCAACCCCAGACGTGGAACGCAGACGCGTCACCGGGGGACCCGGGGTCGGCGAAACCCTCGGCCGCTGGGAGTGTGGCCACAGGTTAAGCTGGTGAGCAGCGTAGCGGACAGCAAATGACCATAGAAAATGGGGGGCATCGGCATGAATCATGGAGGTACGAGCAACCTCCATGACCAAGCCGATGCGGCGCTCAGCAACCCCATTCTACTGTGGCGAGTCCGGCAAGGTGTACGACTGGGTGATGCCCTCCGCACGACAGAACTGTCCAAGCCGACCAGAGGCGAACTCGCCGCCACGGTCAGAGTGGAGACACAACACGGGGAGACCGCGGTGAAGACACGCAGCCACAACCCACGAGAGAAGAACGTCGGGCACGTCGGCCTTCCGCTCCAGGGGAAACACCGTGGTGTAGCGCATGTAGTCGTCGACGAGCACAAGAAAGTAGCGCTCACCGCGCGGTCCGGGGACGGGGGCTGGGCCCCAAACGTCGAGGTGCAGGGTCTGAAGGGGAGCAGTAGCAGGGTGAAGCGAGGAGGAGAGAGGGGCACGGCGGAGCCGGCCCTCGACGCAAGGCGTGCACGGTGGCGCAGTCGAGGGGGGAAGTGCGGGGAGCGACCTGGGGAGGCCTAAGACAAGACCGTGCTGAGACATGTGACGCAGGCGCGGGAGAGCAGGGTGACCTAAGCGGTGGTGCCACAGAATCGACGGGTGTGTGAGGGACCGACACGAGCAAGCTGCAGCTACTGGGAGGACGCACCAACTGGGGGGGAAGCGGTGTCGAGGGTAAACAGACCGGACACTGGGTCCCGGGGGAACGTCGCAAGGGGGGAACCTGAGGCTGCCTCGGTACAGACAGCGAACCGCTCATGCTCAAGGAACGTGGTGGTGACACCGAGGTCCTGAAGACGGCCGACACCAACCAGGTTCCTGGAGAACGAGTGAACGTGGAGGCCTGTAAGAGAGCCCGAGGGAACGGCTGTACATGGAAGGGAAGTGGAGCTGCGAGCGACGACATGACCCACGGAGGGGTCAACGAGAGCGACAACAGCAGGCGCAGCAAGCGGCGTGAGCGTGGAGCAGTCGCGGAAGAAACAGGCAGAAGCACCGGAGTCGAGAGTGAAGGACAGCGAGGCAGTAGCGGAGGCCGGGAACGGAGCCGGTGCAGAAACTAGGCTAGGCAAACTAGGCAGTCCTACACCTGACGCAGCAGGGGAGGCTAAGCTATACAAGGGTGCTACGCCTAAACTAGAGTACACAGGGTAATAAGATCCAGCAATACTAGAAGCGTCAGCATACAAGGCATGCAAAGCAGCACCTATCTGATCCATATCTAAATCAAAGATCGGCACGCCCTGGCGAAGCAGGCTGTGCCAGTCGGGGAGGTCCGGGGCCGGGCCAAAGCGACGACGAAAGAGATCGTCGAGGCGGCGGAAACAGCGGACGGTCGGGTGCGGGCGGTGGCACAGGGTGCCGCGGAGAGGCCCGATCTGAAGCTGGTACTGGTAGGTCACACCAACGGAGCTGCCGGTAGACGCCAAGCTGCGCGGGCCGCCACCACGGCCACCACCGACGGAGGTGCCGGGCCAACCCGGGGTGAGGCGAGCCCACGGCTGGGGATGGGACAGCTGCTGCGACAACTGCGACTGCTGCGACGGCTGCTGCGGCTGCTCCTGCTGCTGGGGCAACGGCTGCTGCTCTTGACTAGCTGAGGCAGTCCCCTCAGTAGAACCACTGTCCCCAGTACCACCACTACTACAACCAGCTCCACAGTGCTAGCAGTGCGGTAGCGAGACTCTAGGGCGCGCAGGTGAGTGGCAAGGTCAGCAACAGTAGGGAAGGAAGCAAGGTCTGGGAAAAGCATAGGGAAGAGCAGGCGGCTTGCAGTAGCGGAGGCAGGCGTGGAATAGCGAGCAACAACAGCTTCTAAGTAAGCCTTGGCTGTATCAAAACGCGAACGCTCAGACACAGGGAGGGCGTGACTGATAGCGACCTGAGCAACTGCATCGCGAGAGTCTCAGACGGCACAGGCAAGTGCAGCAGCAGAGAAAGTCTCACGCTCAGCAGAGGTGGGGTCAGCAGGGAGGGGAGCAGGCGCAGGGGGGCGGGGGAGCAATCCATCAGTATGGAGAACCAATGAGTGCCCATCCTGGCGCTGACCTGTGAGGTGACGGCGGAGATCGGACAGCCAGGCGGCGAAGTCAACCGCATGGCCTTCAGCGTCCAGGCGGAGTACGAAGTCAGCCATCGTGCACAGTCAGCGATACAGGGACACAGCGGCACAGCTCCACACGACACAGCGGCACAGGGACACAGCAGCACAGCTCCAGGGGGACGTCTGCAAGACGCTCCAGCGCTGGCAAGCAGAAGACACGAGGCCGGAGACCCGAGGAACCATGCCGAGCAGAAGACACGGAGCCGCAGGAGCCGGGCAGGCGCTGGGTGCGGCCGGGCGGGCGCTAACAGGGGCCGGACGGGCGCTGTGGAGGGGCCGGGCGGGCAGTAGAGGGGGCCGGGCGGGCGCTAGGAGGGGCCGGCTAGGAGCGGGCGCGAACGGCCAAGGGGCCGGCTAGGAGCGGGCGCGACGGCCAGGGGGCTGGCTAGGAGCAGGCGCGAATGGTCAGAGGGCCGGCTAGGGGTGGACGCAACGGCCAGGGGGCCAGCTAGGGGCGGGCGCGACGGCCAGGGGGCCGGCTAGGGGCGGGTGCGACGGCCAGGGGCCCGGCTAGGGGCGGACGCGACGGCCAGGGGGCCGGCTAGGGGCGGACGCGACGGCCAGGGGGCCGGCTAGGGGCGGACGCGACGGCCAGGGGGCCGGCTAGGGGCGGACGCGACGGCCAGGGGGGGAGGGGGCCAGCTAGGGACGGGTCACGAGGGCGGCTAGGGCCTAGGGCGGAAGCGTGGGCGGGCGAGAGGAACCGAACCTACTCATGATACCATGTTAGAAAGAGAGAATGAATGGACTAGTGTGAGAAACCTAGAACATGTACCTGTTGGGGTTGTATTCACTAGAAACACACCTAGGCTAGCCTATAACTTCTACATACAGCATATGTATAACTTGACACAAACGCCACCAATCCAACGCAGGTCCCCTCACTAGTGAAACAGCCAGCTCGATTTTCCAACATGTAGTTGCCATATCACATCAACCTTGCATTCTGAACAAAATGAACACCATTTCAGGGCTTACCGACTTTTGATGCTATGTTATGTAAGAGCATCAGTGCTAGGACGAAAACAGATAACCGAAGGAGTGCTCTAACGGATGTGTATGGTATGGTACAACAATTGCATGAAAGGCATGTGGTGAGGTCCATCCAGCTTCTCCGTCTCACCGCATAATTACACACACAAAAAGAGACTGATATTTCACTCCACTCTTGCCATGCACACCTCTCTTGGGGAGTTGCCATGTGTAATCTCACTTCCAAGTCACCGCCTACCTTGGCCGTACTGCCCTCCCCTGCCTTGCCCGTACCCTCCCCCTTGTTGCGCATACCCCCTTCCCCCCTGCCCCGCATACCCCTGCTGCTGACTCCCCCCATACCCCTGTTGGCTTCCTCCGTATCCCCCTCTCCCATACCCTCCCGTTTGCCCGTACCCTCCTCTTCCTCCATACCCTGCCGCGGCTTCCGCGCTTGCTCCTGCGCCCGGCCTCACCCATGCATTCTGATTATACCCCGCTTGCTGCTGTGGCTGTTGCTGCTGGTACCCCCCCTGCTGCTGCTGAAAGTACCCGCCTTGCTGCTGTTGCTGCTGCTGGTAACCACCCTGTGCCCCCCCGTAACCATACCCCTGCTGCTGTTGCCCATAGGCTCCCGCCTTCCCCCCATAAGCAGCAACCCTAGGGTCTGCTGATTGCCCCCCACCATACCCCCCTGCATGGGGGTGACTATATCCCCCACCCTGGTTGTGACTATAAGGGGATGCCTGGCTGTAGGGTGACTGTATGGGTAGAATGCCACCCGCAAGCGGCACAGGGAGGGGCACAGGACCAGCACTGCCGGTGTGAGTCAGCCGCTGCTGCGCCTCTCGCAGCTGGGCGGCTGCGGCCCCGCCCTGCCGCCCGGCGTTGCCAAGAGAATTGAGAAGCAGACGAGTGGCTGCCGCCCCCAAGACGGGCCCTCCTATGGCGTTCTGCACTGGTCGCCTGGGATAGGGTAGAGATAGGGGCGAGAGAGATAGGAGGGTGAGGAAGATAGGAGGGTGAGGAAGATAGGAGGGTGAGGAAGATAGGAGGGTGAGGAAGATAGGAGGGTGAGGAAGATAGGAGGGTGAGGAAGATAGGAGGGTGAGGAAGATAGGAGGGTGAGGAAGATAGGAGGGTGAGGAAGATAGGAGGGTGAGGAAGATAGGAGGGTGAGGAAGATAGGAGGGTGAGGAAGATAGGAGGGTGAGGAAGATAGGAGGGTGAGGAAGATAGGAGGGTGAGGAAGATAAGAGGGTGAGGAAGGGGTGGGAGGAAGGGCTGACATAACAACTGAGGGGAAGGGGTGATTGAAGAAAACGGGGAAGAGGCGAAACAAGAGAATGGGGGATGGGGGAGGGAGGAAACGGGAAGGGGTGAAATGGAGGAGCAAATGAATGCTCTGTGCCAACCAGCACACTCCACTCTGCTGTCTGTGCTACCAGCACACTCACCTCTCCTGAATCTGCGGCCGTCGCCTTCCCCACGTGTCCTCGTGCCACAGCGGCTCACTCTTGATGTCCTGCTCTGATACCAACTGCTCACAGACAGCGGTCGAGGATGGAAGCGGGGGGGCAATGAGGAAACAAGTACCTCGAGCGAAAGCAATGGGAAAAATTCATAAGATAAGTCAGGGGGAAGGCGTGGGGGGGGGGGGGGCAGGGGGGAAGGGGGGGAGGGCGGGGGGAGGATGGGGCACGAAATGGGGGTTGAATTCATTGACGGCAAGGGGGAGGAAGGGAGGAGGAATGGGGTCTAAGCGCATCAGGGGAAGAAGACGAGGGAGGTATATATCTATATATATATATATATATATATATATATATATATATATAGAGAGAGAGAGAGAGAGAGAGAGAGAGAGAGAGAGAGAGAGAGAGAGAGAGAGAGAGAGAGAGAGAGAAGAGAGAGAGAGAGAGAGAGAGAGAGAGAGAGAGAGAGAGAGAGAGAGAGAGGGAGCATGAGCCTTTCCTCAGCTATATAAGGCCCTCTCTCTCCCCATTCTCCTTGTTTAGTTTCCATCCATTCTCTTTTCCTCCTTGGTTTCGGCTCGCGCCGGCGGCCTTTGGCCGCCGTCGCTCGCGGCGCGGCCTTCGGCCGCGCCGTTAGGGGATGACAAGCAACAAGAATACAATATAGGACTCATAGGTAGTGGACAGCATTCGCCTGCGGGGCCTAGCCTAGGCATACACAAGCACCCATGGAGCACCTGATACGCCGTGCGGGGGCGCTCAGACTGCAGGACTCACCGCCCGGCCGCACCTACTCCCGCCGCTCTGCTAATCCGCGACAGCCGCCAGCCCGGCCTCCTCCAGCAATTCGGCCTGGTACGACAACAGGACCTGCAGCGTGGACACGGCGCCAGCTACAAGCCCTGCAGCTGACGCCGAGTCTATGCTCGCCGACACCTGGCGGAGAGCGGCGAGAAGGTGCGGGTCCGTGCCTAAGTGGGCAAATTCGTTGGGGTCCCCCAGCGTTTTGCGTAAATTCGTAAGCGTAAATTCGCAAACGCGAATTTACCTGAAATTCGCGAAACGCTGGGGACAAATTTTCGGGGCAGCCCGGACAAAAAAACACAAAATTTTCCACTCGATTCGCGACGACTTGGCGATGCCATCCGTGGCCTCGCCAATTCGCGATTCTAACTTTTGAACCTTCTAACATGCACCCAACCCCTCCCACGCTCCCAACCGTGGGGGATGTGTGAGTATGGTTTCTAATGGTGCTGTAGGTTGCTGCAGGGCTGTTGTTGCGAAGGAACCCCCCCAAACTCTCGAACATGCTATTGCCATAAACTTTGAGAAGCAATATATATTTTGTGCTAAATTTTTATTGTTTGAAAGAGTTGCCCTGAAACCCCCCATGCCCCCCCTACCTGGGAAGTTTTTTTTGGGCCTGCCCGGGTTTTTTTTTCCTGCCCGGGCGGAACGAATTTCCTAACGAATTTAAAACAGGGCCCTGGCGTTCGGCGAATTTACGCCAGCGTAAATTCGTCAGCGAATTTACGTGAAACGCGAATTTTCCCACTTAGGTCCGTGCCTGTTCCCCGGGCGGGCCCGGGCCGCGCGCGTGCGGCCTCCACAGCAAGATCTATGGCTGCTTCCATGCAGCCCTGAAGGGGGAAGTACGGGGCCATTGACCGGCCCCCTGAGCTCCCCAGCGCGGAGCTCGCCGACGCCAGAATCGTCAACAGTATCTCGGTCCCCCTCCGAGCATGCCCAAGGCGACGAAGTGTGGCGGCTGGGACCGTTATCCCCGCAGGAGCCGCCGTCAGCGGTCCCGCCGTCAGCGGGCTCCAACGCGTCGCCACCCCGGCCCCACGGGCACGACGGGGAGACCCCTCCCCTGGCGACTCCGCGCCCCCCGTCTCCGCTGCTTTTGCCCCCGCCTCTACACCCCGTGGGGATGGCGCCCGCCGCCGAGGGGGAACAAACGGACCGACCACACCCCCTCCGCGGTAGAGCCCCACCTGGGGATCGGACCACTCCGCCGCCCCAGCCCAGGACGAGGGGGGTCGCCACTCCGGGAGAGTATCGGCGGATAACGCGGGGCTGCCTCTCTGGGGCGCTGGCAGGGACTGATGGTGCAAGTCGTAGTACCCGGGGGGGAAGTGGACCGGCGCGTGCGAGGGCAGCGGGTGCGCGGCGGGGTGCTGGACAGTATACGGGCCCCCAGGCGGCACATGCTGTCGCGGAGGCGCCAGCGCGGATGGGTGCAGAGCCGTCGGAGGTGGCGGCAGGATTTGCAGGCTCGACCACTCACTTCCACGCGCCATCGCGGGACAGGGTTGCACGGGCCGCAGCTGAGAGGGAATCGACCCAACATGAGCCGGCTGGTCGGGGAGGGTCGGTGGACGATCTCGGGGAGGAAATGGAGGCTGCGTATGACAGGGGGGCTGCTGAGGGGGCTCCTGCTGCGGGGGCGAAGGGAGCAGCCCAGCGCCAGCCCGCTCGAGTATCCCCTCCAGCGTTGCGGCAGTCCGCGCCAGCCGCCTCTCCAGAGCGCACCCCCTTCGCCCCCGACGTGTGCCAGCTCGCCCCGAGGGGCCGTTTGGCGCACGCTGCTGTTGCGGAAGGGGCCGAGACGGCAGCACAGGGGGGGGGCGAGGGCCCGCCGCACGTGACACAGCAAGCGGCGACAACGCAGCAGGTGGACATTGGCGGACCTCGGCGCCCGCCACCACAGCCCGCCCCTCCAGCCGAGGCGGCGTCGCCGCTCGCATCCGACCAGGGGACGCTGGCGCGCTCGTCGGCGGCGCTGGGAGCCCGCGTGCCCACCGCCGGTCCGACTGAGGGGGGGAGCTCGACCGACCTCGGGGGAGGACGTTTTCCCCCGAACTCTCACGGTCAACAGAGCGCTCCCTGCGAGCGCGGCCGGCACGGAAGGCCATTCGACTCGCCGATGACCCCCAGAACCGGCACAGCGAGGCAGCGGGGCGAACGCCCGCCTACTCCACGCTCAGCTGCACGGGGCAGCGGCTCGCGGAGAGGACGCGGCGGCAGGGGGCGCGGACGCTCGCCTAGCCTGATGGCTAACGGCGGACCACTGAATGGCTTCCAAAGGGCTGTGGGGAGGGCTTTAAGAGAAGAGGCAGCTGAAAACACGAATGCTGCTGAGGAACGTGCGGATGCCACTTATAGGCAGGAGGCACGGGAAGAGACTAGCACGGAGGACTCAGCTGAGGATGACGGGGGCGAAGGACCTGATCGAAGACAAAGGCAGGCGGGGCGGAATCAAAGGGAACAGCGGGCACCGCGTATGCGAAATTATCGGAACAACGAGGTACAACCCAACCTCCCTCCCCGCCAATTCTCGCCAGAAGACCTGGCGAATAATGAACCCCTTTTCACGGGGATCGCAAATTGGGACATCGGACGGCTTTGCGACAGTCGCCAGCCCCCACTTTCCCGTCGAATCCCCCCCAAACTACGCCAGCTTTTCGCCCTGGCGCTCCTGACACCTCTGCTCCACATCGCAAAAAACCCTTCTAGCCTCGCGGGCTGGCGCCTGTTACTCTTCACACCCCGACTCACCCTTCGCCTCAATTCGCCGCGCCACCCAGATTGGCCAGCGATAGAGCGGAGGCTGCAGCAGTTCCTGGCCGGCGAATGGGAATCGCTGTACCTGGCAGCAGCTGACGCGATACACAACCCACCTGTACCACGACACTCAGGAGACACCCTTGGCAAAATATCCCGCGCCGAGGGCCTCGTCCGTCGTGGCAGCCTCAGGCGTGCCCTCCTGGCACTGGACTCGACCCCGGTCAGCGAGTCAACGCCGGAGGTCCTCGCCGCACTGACCTCCAAACACCCCCCCCCTCTGACTGAGTCCCTTGCCTGGCCTGCCCTCGACGAGTCTGAGCGACTCCCCTCCATCTCGCTGGCCGATTTCGTTCGGTTACTTAGCCGCAGCGAAAACGGAGTTGGCGCGGGACCGTCGGGCATGTGCTTCGAACACCTTCGCGACGCAGCCATCGCGAACGCCTCAGTCGCCAGCAAACTGCACGGGGTAGCACAAATCCTCCTAAAAGGATCCACCACTCCAGAGGTAGCCGGGCTCCTCACAGCTAGCCGCCTGCTAGCGTTCCCGAAGCCAGAGGGGGGCACCCGCCCAATAGCAGTGGGCGAATGCCTCCACCGCCTAGTGGCGAAAGCGGGCCTCGCCGCCATGAACGAGCCCGCCCAAAGCCACTTCCTCCCACTGCAGTTCGAGGTGGCGGTAAGGGCCGGCGGCGAGGCGATAATCCATGGCGCGAGAGCTTTCGCCACGGAATCCCCGTCTGCCCTCCTGCTCCAACTTGACCTTTCTAACGCTTTCAACAGCGTCGACCGCGGGGCCATCATCACAGGGCTCTATAACTCCCCGCTCCGCCCCCTCCTCCCCTTCGTACAACTCTCCTACGGCGCCCCCTCCACTCTTTTCTTGGACGCGGGCTTTGACAGCCAGCCCCTCCTCAGCGCCCGCGGCGTCAGGCAAGGGGACCCCATGGGACCTCTGCTCTTTGCCGCCGCCATGCATCCCGCCCTGCGAGAGACCGCCCAAGCGTTTCCCCGCGTCCTCTGCCTGGCATACGCCGACGACATCACCTTGATGGGGGAGCCGGCCGCATGCACAGCCGCATTCGCCCACCTCACCCACGCGCTCCTTCCTCTCGCCCTGACCCACAACCTGGCTAAGTGCGCAGCATGGTCCGCGGCCCATCCCCCCCCCGACTCCCTCCCCCCCGGGATCCCCTTCCGCGCCTCCGGGTTGCGGATCCTGGGCAGCCATATCGGTCCCCCAGATGCAGCAGCCAGCTTCCTGCGTGAGCAACTGGCCGCAATGGCCAAGCCACTGCCAACCCTGGCAGCCATGGACCCCCAGGCCGCCAGCCTCCTCCTCCACCGCTGCGTCTCTCGTCGGGTCTCCTACCTGACCCGCACGACGCCGCTGAACCTGCTCCCAGCACAGGAGTGGTCCCAGTGGGGGCAGCAACTCTACCTCACCCTCCTGAGGGCCTGCCATCTCCAGCTCCCACGGGGGGAACAGGAGATGTCGCGCACTTGGCAACAGGCCTCGCTCCCCCCCTCCCTCGGAGGGCTCGGCTTGACGGACCCCACAGTGGAGGGACCCCATGCCCTCCTCACCAGCGTCACCCACGCCCAACGGCTCCTGGCCTCCCTCGCCCCAGACCCATCCGCCCCCCTCGGGACAGTGGCCCGCTCCCTCGCACCACCCTACACCAGCCCCACCCCCCTTCACACCTGGCTAGCTGAGTGCGAGGCGGCGCTGCCGGCCACCGCCCGGGAACTCCTGCGCGCCGAGCCCTCGGAACCATCCGAAGCTCCGCTCCAGCACCGCCTCGCCCTAGAGGTCCACGCTGCCCGGTTCGCCGAGCAGCTAGAATCGACCAGGCACATGGAGCTAAACCCCCTCAGCGGTCACACGCAGCGGCTCCTCTCCCTCACAGGGTACGGAGCAGGGGACTGGCTCCTCGCAGTCCCCCTCTTCCCATCACTCAGGCTGGCACCTCCCCACTTCGCCATAGCCCTCGCCTTCCGCCTGGGCCTCCCTTTCCCCGCGCCAAAAGTGTGCAATTGCGCCAAGAAGACCGAGATCCCGGACCCACGGCTCCCCAACCACTTATTCCGCTGCGGGACGGGGCACGGACGCACTGATACACACAACGCCCTCCGGGACGAATGCATTCGCATGGGCCAAGACGCACAACTCATTGTCTCGAAAGAAACAGCCCTATACAACCCGGTCGACGGCAAGACAGCCGACCTAGCCATCCGGGACCGGGACTCAGGGGCGGTCTGGATCTGCGACGTCACAGTCACGGACCCAGTCAGCTCCAGGGACCCCCTCGCCCGCAAGGGACGCGGTTACATGGCCAGGGAGCAGGCGGACAAGAAGATCGACATGTACCGCCACAGGGCAGAGTACGTCGGCTTCTTCCCGCTTGCTGTCGAGACATACGGCTGCCCTTGCACGGAAGTGCCGGTCTTCCTCAAACTTTTAGTCCACACGGCTGCCCGGCGCCTCTTCAACGCCGACCCCAGCTCTTACCAGGCGGCGAAACTACTCAACCAGTTTCGCCAGCGCTGGTCAGTCACCCTCCAACGGGGACAGGCACTAACCTACCTGGAGAAGGTGAACGAAGTGTCACCGCTGGAGTGGCCCCCCTTGGGGGGACCCGATGCGGGCATGTCCCTCGGGGACTGCTTCGCCGTGCTAGAGCATTAGGGGAGGGAGGGGGGGTGGTAGGACCGGGTACTAAACCTCCCCACCGGTAGTAGTTACCTGTGCCTGCTCCACTTGCCTAGCATGTACCCAGGATTCCCCAGCAACAAAGGACCATTCGAGAGAGAGAGAGAGAGAAATGCCGCCTACTTTCTCTGATCAAACCCGACGGTGGAACTCGTTCCATTGCGGTCAGCGAAAGCCTTTTCCGCCTCGTGGGCAAGGCTTGCCTTGCTACCTCGGCGGACAGCGCCCGCGCCTTCTTCCTCCCCCTCCAGTTCAGGGTGGCCGTCCGAGGTGGCGGCGAGGCCATTATTCACGCAACCTGGGCCTTCGCCGCTGAGTGCCCGTCGGCACTCATCATCCAATTGGATCCATCCAACGCCTTCAACTGCGTGGACCAAGGGGCGATAGCCCTGGCACTCTATAACTCGCCACTCCGCCAACTTCTCCCATTCCTTCAGCTCTCCTACGGGGCTCCATCCCGGCTCAACCTCAACGCCGGTTTCGATAGCCCCCCACTTCTGAGCGAGCGCGGGGTCAGGCAGGGCGACCCCATGGGACCCCTGCTCTTCGCGGCTGCCATTCACCCTACCCTCCAGGCGACGTCCCTCGCGTACGCAGACGACGTGACGCTCCTTGGCGAGCCGGACGCCTGCGCAGCGGCATTTAGCTACCTCACCGACTCACTAAGACCGCTAGGCCTCTCTCACAACCCAGCAAAGTGCGCGGCGAGGTCGGCTACCGCCGCCGCCGCCTCCAACGTCCCACCGGGAGCAGGCGGCCAAGAAGATAGACCACTACTCCGACCGGGTAGAATATGTGGGCTTCTTCCCACTCGCAGTCGAGACCTACAGCTGCCCCTGCTACAAGATACCCACCTTCCTGAAGCTCTTGGCGGACACGGGAGCCCGACGCCTTTTCAACGCGGATCCAAGCTCCTACCAGGCCGGGACACTGCTTAGCCAGTTCCGCCAGCGCTGGTCCATCACGCTCCAACAGGGGCAGGCCCTCTCTTAACTCGGGAAGGTCAACGAAGCTTCGCCGGCGGAGCGGCCCTCCCTCGGCGACCCGGAGGCAGACATGTCCCGCGGGGACTGTTTCGCCATCCTCGAACACCACGAGGGGCTCGAGTAGGCCCAAGAACCCCCTAGGTCGGCCTTTCCACGTACCTGTTCCCCGTCTCCTTGCCTAGCTTGTACTCAGGATTCAGCAATGCTAAGGACCGCTTGAGAGAGAGGGAGGGAGGGAGGGGGGGAGGGAGGGAGGGAGGGAGGGAGGGAGGGAGAGAAAGAGAGAGAGGGAGAGTCACCTTGGGGGGGAAGATAGCGCCAGCTGGCGGGCGGCAGATGTGTCGATGGAAGTCCGGGTTTTTGTAGACCACACAGCTGATGAGGTGGCAAAAAGAGGGTTGGGGGGGGGGGGGGAGAATGGGTTAAGGGAAGAGAGAATAAGATGATTTGGATGGCAGATATGTCGATAGAAGACAGGGTTCTTGTAGACCACACAACTATTGAGCAGGGGAGGATATGGGGGGGGAATAAAATGTAAAGAAGGGGAGAAAGGGATGAGGGGTGGGTGGCCAGTGTGGGGGTGGGGAAGTGGGAGTAAAGAAAACATTGATCCTGGCCAGTGAGAGCGATGGCAGCGCACGACTCACACGACTTGGTTGCTGACTCACACCACCTAATTGCTGACTCACATCACTTGGTTGCTGACTCACATCACTAGGTTGCAGCTTGCTGACTCACATGACTTGGTTGCTGACGATGGTCTCGAACCCCGACATGGGGGCACGCAGCATGGGTGGGCACGGCTGGCCATCGCACAGCACCAGATAGCCGTTCATGCCGCCACTGATGGATTCATCCCCCCGTGCACACCAACCCACGGATAGGGGGGAGGGGAGAGGATGGGGGAAAGGGGGAGGAATGAGAGGAGGATACGGAACGCGCATGACATCAGGTCCAGGTGGCCGTTCATGCCCCCACTGGCGGATTCATTCTAGACATGGGCAAAAAAAATCGCATCGCATCGCATTTAATCGCGTTTTTGCGATGGCGATGTTTTTTTTTTTTTTTTTTTTTAATCATTGCGCGATGCGATGAATTAATATCGCGCGATTTAATTTAAATCGCATTTTAATCGCGCTTAAAAAACGCGATTTAAATGCGATATGCGATTTTTTAAAAATCGTGCGCGATATTGCACTGAAATTCACTCTGAAACCCACTACGAAACCACACTGGTTATTTGCACTCTAGCTTACGACTGCCCGTGAGTCAATTTCCCCGCAGCCATGGTTTTTTTCTGTTTTTTTGGGGTGTTTTTTAATTCTGTTTTAAAACGCGATGCGATTTAAAATCGCAAATTGCGATTTAATTAAATATCGCATGCGATTTATTAATACATCGCAGGTAAAATGCGATGTGCGATTTTTTTTTTTTGGAAAAATAAATCGCGCGATGCGATTGAAAATCGCATCGCTTTTTTAAACATCGCACCTGCATGCGATGCGATTTAAATCGCAATCGCGTTTTGATCATGTCTAATTCATTCCCCCTAGCACACCGGCCCAAGGATGGGCGGCAGGACGCCTTAACATGGAGGGTGAGAGGCATGAGAAGGGGAAGCCGAGCCGAGCATGCAAGACAAACGGAGGAGTAGCAGCACATCCCCCCTGATGACTCCAACGTTTATGCCTTCACTGATAAACGCATGCCCCCTTGCACCCCAAAGAGGAGATACAACTAGGGGAGGGGGTAATTGGGAAGCAGAGGCAGGGGATGGGAAGACACGCCACAGGGGCTGGAAGACAACAGGGAAAGGGAGAGAGGGAGGAGGGAGGAATGAGGAAACATTGTGGGCATTGAGGGACATCATCGATCCAAGGAGAGGGAATGCCTTTGTGACCAAAACCCCCTTCCATCACGCACGCCTTGCCACCGTTTATTTAGCTATAGGCAACGACAAGACCAAAGAATAGGCCCAGGAATGAAACATACAAAATCGTTTAAACAAAACGATCAAGCGTATTGCGGGAGTGTAGAACAACCGCCAGCCGCTCCACAATCGTGCGAACACATTCTTCGGAATGCTTCCGCGGAGTGAGAGCTGTACCAGCCAGCTCTCAAGCCACGCTTCTGTGCCTGAGGCTGTGGTGGAGGGGTCTGGGGTCATGGCTGCACCTGAGGGGTCATGGCTGCATCTGAGGGGTCATGGCTGCACCTGAGGGGTCATGGCTGCACCTGAGGGGTCCTGGCTGCACCTGAGGGGTCATGGCTGCACCTGAGGGGTCATGGCTGCACCTGAGGGGTCATGGCTGCACCTGAGGGGTCATGGGTGTACCTGAGGGGTCATGGCTGCACCTGAGGGGTCATGGCTGCACCTGAGGGGTCATGGCTGCACCTGAGGGGTCATGGCTGCACCTGAGGGGTCATGGCTGCACCTGAGGGGTCATGGCTGCACCTGAGGGGTCATGGCTGCACCTGAGGGGTCATGGCTGCACCTGAGGGGTCATGGCTGCACCTGAGGGGTCATGGCTGTACCTGAGGGTGGGGTCGATGGCTTGCTTCTTCTGCATGCGCGCCTTGGCGTCCAGCTGCCCCCACTTGCCCATCATCTCCCACACCGACGCCGCCAGGGGGTACCCCGAGGAGAAGTACATCATCTCGCACAGCTGGCTGTTGCGCCGCCGCTCCTCCGCCTGAATACGGGGAGTCAAAGAGCACGGCACACACAAGGGGGAGATCAACACAAGCCGCTGAGGATGCTGCCAACGCCCAAGGACACCCCGAGGAGAAGAAGTAAATGAGCTTGCACAGCTGGCTGTTGCGCCGCCGCTCCTCCGCCTGTCAAGAAAAGACAGAAGATAGGCACACATGTGAAACACGGGAAGAGATACCGAGGATGCCACCAGGGGGTAGCCAGAGCGGAAACACATCACCTCGCACAGCTGGCTGGCTGCTGCGCCTCCTATCCTCCACCTCTGCTCGGCTCCACACGCTCACTCCCGACGAACCGGCTTGTTTCCGGCTCGTGCGGACCTGGCTGGCGAAATGCCTGCCCACGCAGATCTGACGGCCGAAACGCAGATGGGTGCAGTTCTTGCGAGCGAAATGCCTTTCAGGCTGGACCCTGTCGAGCCGAGGCGAGCCGAGCGGGGCCTGTTTGACCCTGCTTGGACGAGCCGAGCCGGCGAAAATTCATGACTGGCTCGGCCTGGCTCGAGCTGGCTCTGCTTGACTGGGGCCCAAATTTACTCCGGCTCGAGCCAGGCTTGGGCTTTTCCCCATGATTAGTGGGTTCCAATTGCCTGATGGCTTCGAGCAGTCACCCTTCATCTATGATCGGCTGCAGAGCTTACAGTGACCTTATAAGGGGCCTAGTGTGACCTGTTACCCCATGTGACCCTACGCTAGACAGACTCACAGTGGAGTAGTTTCTTCTTGCTTGACAGTAGTAGCATGTGGCACGATATGTTGGGTTCCACACAACTTACAGCGACCATGCGCCATGCCACAATGCTGAGGACAGGACTCACAGTGAGCATGGACTCCGCTTGCTTGATGGCCTCTAGAAGCCACTCCTCATCTACGAACGGCAGCAGAGCTCACAGCGATATTGCATGTGACCTTATGTGACCTTGTGTAACCTTATGTGACCTATGTTACCCTATGTTGCACTCACAGTGAGGGTGGGCTCCACTTGCTTGATGGCTTCGAGCAGTCGCTCCTCATCTATGAACGGCAGCAGAGCCACTCCCTGCTCACACAAAGCAGACATGGGGCGCCGGGTTGTGAATGACAAGGAAATCGAACGAGTGACGAGACGAAAGACAGCGATCCTGATTCCTGACAGATAGGGAAAGAGCGTGGAGGAAGCGGAGAGTGGGGGCAGGAAGAGAGAGAGAGAGAGTGGAGAGGAGAAGAAAGGAAGTGGCAACTGACCTGCCAGGCAAAACGCTTGCCGTTCATGTCAACACTGAAGTCTGCGGAAGGAGGGAGAGAGGGAGAAGAGAAAGCGCAAAAGGCTAAATTCAACAAAAAAAAACGGACGGGCAGACGAGGAACACGCCAGGCAAAGCGCTAGCCGCTCGTGTCAACACTCAACACTGTGGAGGCAGGGAGACTAGGCATGGTTAAAATGCGATGCGTTGCGATATCGCATCGCATTCTGTCTTATCGTGCAACTTGAAATCGCATATCGCGTTTTAGGGGGCGATATTTAAAAATGCCGCCGAAAAAAAGCGATACATCGCGCGATGCGATAATATATCGCATCGCATTTAGGGGCCACTGTTTTCCCGCCCTAAAAAAACGTGTTCCCACACCACAGGGCACGACAATGGCGGCTCTCCTAGGTTCGCGTGGAACTAGGTAAGTGAATTGACGGGAGATGGGAATATCATGGTCCCTCTCTCATGTGGAGCGTGTTTGAGGGGAAGGGGTTGAATTCTGTAGATGCATGGGAGTTTAGTGCGGTTGAAGTGGTGGAAATTGGTTGGAGTTCCAACCAATTGAATTTGGGGGTCAAGATTTCAGTCCAGCCCCCTAATCCTTTCAACCGCACACCACCACATCCCATCCAGAAAACCCACTCGCCCACCGCCCACCACCAACCATAACAAATTTGAACCCCCCCCCACCGAACTCCCCTCCCTCAACCACACTGCACTCCTTCCCATCTAGAATTTCCAACCCTTACTCTAATGTGCTCCAAGCTCTGCTCCTCACACAAATACAGTACACCTCCCCCCAAACTGCCGCTTGCCATTTCCGCGCGCCATTTCAGCAAGGGAAACCTAGACTAGCTTAGCCTCATCTATTTTCGCTAAGTTCAGGGCTCTCGCCCATGTCCCCCCTCCCCCCTTGCTGGCGAAATTCCGCGACGCGATACGCGAAAGTATCGCGCGCGATATCGTTTTATCGCTTTAGGGTTGAGCAAACTACCCGCCCGGGTCGGGTACCCGGTACCCGGACCCGCTTTTAGGGCGGGTCGGGTATCGGAAATCCTGAATATTGCCCGGCGGGTCGGGTCCGGCTTACCCGGGGCGGGTATCAATACCCGCTACCCGAAATGCTACCCGACGCGTCGGGTAGCGGGTACCCGACCCGAAATCGGGTAGCGGTCTACCCGACGGAACCAGCGAGACATTAGTCGCGCTGGTAGAGAAATTTCATCAAATTTCTAGGTTACGTGAGCTTAGACATGGGCAAAGTGCGATTGCGATTTATTTTTTGGAAAAAAAATACATCGCACATCGCGTTTTGCCTGCGATGTATTTAAAAATCGCAGGCGATGTTTTATTAAATCGCGCGATGCGATATAAAATCGCATCGCATTTATAAAAGTTTCCAAAACAAATCTGCATACTTGGAAAAAAAACCTTCAGAAAACTAGAACACGTGATGGTGCGGCCATTGACGAATAAAAATACCGTTCAGAGTAGGTTTCCACACAAATGCGAGCCCCGTGGTAAGGGCCCGACTTTCGTAGCTTAAAACAAGTAAGTGCATGGGTTTCAAAAGGGGGGGGAGGGGGGGGAGGGAGGGGGGGAGGGGAGGGTAGCTGCCAGCTGGATGGTGTGAAAAGTATGAGGGTGCGGGAAAGGAGGGAGGGGGGTTCAAAGGGGGGGGGGGATGAGGGAGGGAAAGGGAGGAAGCGAGCATGAAGCATAGTCATCATCGGTCCAGCACGTTGTCAATATAAATAAGGTGATGTCCTATCAGTTCCCGAACCCCCCAGCAGCACGGTAGGTAGCCCTCAAAGCCCTGGACCTATCTCAAGGCCCAGCTCCCACGCCTCGTCGGCCGTCTCGACATCTTCGGCTGCTACCGCGCCATCAAGTCGCTGTCCAGGGTGAGAGGCAATCCATGACTTCAGCATCATGCAAGCACGGATTCGCTCCGCACCCAAGCGGTAGCGCTGCCAGTGGATGAGGTTGCGGCCCTGTGAGAACAGGCGCTCGCAGGGGGCAGAGGTGGCCGGGATGGCGAGGTAATCCCGAGCCATGCGCTGTAGCGCTGGAAGCTCCTGGTGGACCTTCCAGAACTGCAAGGGGCAGTCGTGCAGTTCCGCCAAGGGGAGTGACAGGTACTGCTGGATCTCGTCCTGCACCGATGAGATCTGTGCGGCCCGCACTGTTGCGAGGTGAGTAAACACACCCAAGTCCTCATCCTCCTCATCCTCGGACTCCCTCAGATCCACTCCCGTCCCGCTGCTGCCCCCCTCTACCGATGCTGCTGCCCCCCTCTTCTCAGCCACCTCCTCATCCACCTTTCTCTTGTACGTCTCCCACCTATCGCGCACCAACTGCTCCACCTCGCCGGCATCCAACTCCTCCACCACCCTAGTGCTCCTCTCCACCATAGGCCGCTCAAACCACACTCGCTTCAGTGCCGGATCCAAGAATGTGGCCACGTTGAGGTCATCGGTGCTGGAGTAGAAATACGTGAGCATTTTCTCCAAGGCCTGGGACACGCACCGCGCCATCACCGACCCCGGCTTCGCCGCTGACAGCTTGCGCTCCAGCCAGTCCAGTACCCCATTGTACTGTGGCACCACACGCGCCACAGTTGAGTACACCGACCCCTCCGCCACCAGAGTCACGTTGTTGAATGGCGCTAGGAACGCCATTAACTCCTGCAGTATCGCCCACTCATCGTCTGTAACGGCCTTCTGGTCCAGGTCGGCCTGCTCCTTCTTGTTACACCCCTGGAGTAGAGCAAACAAGGGTGTGGGGGAGGGGGAGGAGTGGGGAGCCGGGAACGGAGGGGGGACGGGGGGCGATCGTTCTGGCAGTGGCTTGGAGTGTGGCGGGGGGGACACGGCCGGGCGATGGAGGTAAGTAGGCGGCAGAGGGTTTGTGGTAACCAAGGTACATGACATACCTCCCTAGCCACAAAAGCCCTGATTGGGCCTTTGAGCTCGATCGCTCGCCGCAGCATGGCGTGGGTGGAGCCCCAGCGCACCGGATTGTCCTGTTTCAACTTCAAGGGTTGCTTCCCAGGGAACTGGTGACGCTGCTCTTTCTCGAAGGCCGCCGTCTTGGTCACTGAGAAACCAATGCGCGACGCGAGGTTGCGCAGCTTCTTCAGTGGCGCTTCCACCTCCGGCACCCCACCCATAGCCTCCTGCACTGCGAGGTTGTTGACATGGGCGAGGCACCTGCACCAAGCACAAAGTTTTGGAGGTTAAAAGGGATGACCACGCCTTGTCGAAGGGTTAGACCAACTACGGCCTGCTTGGTGGAAAATCATAGGCAGCGAACAATGGGGTGATGTCATACCGGACGTGAGCAGCCTTGCCGAACAAGGGGGTCGCGCGCGTCTTCCCATCTCCCTGATCCCCTGCCTTGAGAAGATCGAATGCCGCCCCGTTCACAGACGCGTTGTCGGTCGTGAGCGCCATACACCGCCCGGCAAGCCCCCAATCCTCGATCACCTCCTCCAGGATATTGGCGACCATCCTCGCTGTGTGGCCGGCAGGAAGAGGCCTGAAGTCCAACGTCGCCTGCTTCAGGGTCCACTGTGCATCGATGTAATGCGCAGTGACGCCCATGAAACCGATGTCGTTCTCCGCCGACCAAATGTCCGCCGTGTAGGAGATCGCACCCACCCCCTTGTCAGCCGCCAACTCAGCCTTGGCCAACTCCTTGCACTGTGCCGCCTGTCGCATGATGAGACGAGCCAGCTTGTGCCGCGAAGGAATGACTCCCGGCTGAGCAAGCCGGGGGTTGGCCTCACCCATGAGGCGGCGGAACTGATGGAAGGCGAGAAAGGGTGAAGGAAAGAGGTGAGGCCATGACGAGTGGATGGCGAGGAAGGGATGTACCAAACAGGATAACGTGACACAAGAACACGCCGTGGGGAGGGTAGCTGGGACTCACACTGTCTCGCTCGACTGTGCAAAACGCAGAGTCGGTGTCGACAATGTACTCGACGAGCAGCTGCTCCCAGCGCGGCAGGTCAAGGGGTTTCTGCATGTAACGCATAATCCCGCGCCCCCTCTCCCGGCCGACCGAAGGCCCGTCATCCTCCGCGTCCTCCAACTTGGGCCAATATGCCGATCCCCACCAGGTACTGCCCCCGTCGGGGACCTCTCCATCCCCAAAACCCCCCTTTGGTAGCTGGTCCCCGACCTTCATTTCCCCCTCCCGCCTTAGCCGCATCAAGATGTCCCAATGAGCCCTGTGGTAACCAACCATGTGGGACCGCCCGTTCGACGTGGTGCGGCTCGCGAAGCTCACTAGGAAGTTGCACATCCTACACCTCCTCCAACCCGGTGCCGCCTCCTCCATGTCAAAACAAGCCGCAACACACAGTCGAGGTTCCTTCTCCACCTCCGTGGAGGAGCCCACATGACCCTGGTCAGTCGCCCCATGACCCTCACCCCGGCCACCTCCCGCCCTTCCCCCCCCCCTCCCGGCATCCGTGGGAGCCCGGGCCGCACCTCGGACCCTCCCTCCTCCCCCCCCGCTCCCCTGCGCCTCGTGGAGGTATCCGGGTGACATGCCAGGCCTGCCGACATCCTCGCGCAGCAGTCCCTTCCGCCCCCTGGGCCGGCCACGGGGGCGGCCCCTGGGCGCCCCCCCCAACCCCCCATCTCCCTCTGCAGGTTTACGTGCCTTCTTCCCCGAAGAACCGACCGAGGGAGAAGGCCCGTCATCCACCTTGCGCTTCCCCTTCTCCTCGCCGCCAGCTCCCCCATCCTCCTCCCCATCCCCCTCCTCCTCCGCCACAACGTCGTCGTCATCACCCTCCTTCTCAGCTTGCTCCTCATCCCCCTCCTCATAGGCAGTCCGCACCCCCTCCACCGATGCTCGGATCCGCCAAGCATCCCCGTCCTCCGCCTCATCCCTAACGGCCGCCTTGCCCGCAACGGCGGGCTCCGTTGCGACGGCCGCGCCACTCCCCTACATCCCAATCCCGCCGTTGCCTGGGGCTCCTCCCATGTGCCCGTCGCCTTCCACCCCTAGCGAGGTACCCGCCTTAATCCCCTGCAGCTTCGCGAATGCCGCCTCCGTTAGCATCCTGCGCTGCGCGCGTGCTTCCTTGCCAGTCAATGCGTGCGCTCCAGTCTGAGCATCCGGTTCATCCTCGCGGCCGCGACCCGCGCCACCACCACTCCTACCGCCCCCACGCCCCGCACCTGCTCCACCCTGCTTGCCCATCGCGAGTTGTTAAAGCGACTCCTCAACCTAAACCCTAAACCCTAACGCGGCCGAGTCGATGCGCGTCGCGCGATATACCCTGCAACTGCAACTTGCGGCTGAATAAGATACGCAATGGAAAAAGTGGCAGTGGCCGTGCGTCGTGGCTAGAATATAGCTGGCGAACGGTGAAAAACCCTAGCGACACCACCAACGTGGCAAAATGCGTGCGCGAATGAAGTGGATCGACTATAAGGCCATGCGACGCACAATCTACTACGCGTCGTCTACAAATTTCATTTCAGCCACCAAAAACCGTGAAGAACGGTGTGCTTTGGAGTACTTGGAGATGTGTGCAAAGCCCTAAAACGTTCTCTCAAACGAAAGAGAGTTTGAGAAATGCGTTTTGGGGCTTTGCAAATTTTCCCTTTGTGCTGGCGAGATTTCGCGCTGCGATGTATTTCGACATCGCGCGCGATTTAATTTAAATCGCAAATCGCGTTTAAATCGCGATTCTCGGCCGCGATTTAAACGCGATTTAATTTAAATCGCGCGATAAATAAATCATCGCATCGCGCGATGAATAAAATAAAAAAAAAAACATCGCCATCGCAAAACGCGATTAATCGCGATGCGATGCGATGCGATGCGATTTAAATTGCTCATGTCTACGTGAGCTGCTAGGTCACTTAGAGCATTGTAGATTGGCAGAGGTTGGGTTTCGTAGATACAGATGCATTCAAAGTGGTTGAATTGGGGGGAATTGGTGGGAAGTCAAACCAATCGAATTTCCCCAATCGAATTTGCAACCCAACCTGAATCCAGCCAACCGCACAGCACCACATTGGTTGGAGTTCCAACCAATTGACTCTGCGGGTCAAAGAATCAAACCCCAAGAAACCGCACACAACCCCATTCCAACTAGAAAACCCAACCAACTCCCCACTCAGGCCCCACTCACGACCCACTCTCCACACCAGAACTGTTAAAGATTTGGCGCACCTCATACTCCCTCCCGCAGCTCACAATTTTTGAAGCACCATCCAGGTCGTAGGCTTAATAGCCCAACAGGGTAGAAAGACGCGGGTAATACTACCCGCTTTTCAAGGAAACCGGGTCGGGTATACCCGGACCCGCCAGGCGGGTATTAAATTACCCGCCCCCAAATCCCAGGTCCGGGTATTGGTCCTGGGCATGTTACCCGACCCGTACCCGACCCGAAAATACCCGACCCGAAGTCGGGTATAGCAAAACCGGGTCGGGTCGGGTAAATACCCGGTTTTGCTCATGACTATATCGCTTATCGCATTTTATCGCGCAAAAGATAGCGCGATAAAAAAGCGATATGGCAAATATCGAGCGATATTATCGCATCGCATCGCTGCGATATTCTTAAAGAAAAAGGAATTATCGCAAAATGCGATATAACACGATGCGATATATCGTGATGCAATGCGATTTAACTATGCCTAGGGGAGACGGTGGGAGAAGGTTAGGGATGGAGGGCGAGGAGAAAGAGGATGGGAACGAAGAATGTGCCACAGGGAGAGCAAACCTGAGACACAGAGGAGTTGGGAGATACAAGTTGCTCTTACAAAGGTAGAGGGGTGAGCCGACAGTAGACATGGTCAAAATGCAATGCGATGCGATATCGCATCGCATTTTGACCTGCGCGCATTATATCGCGGCGATGCGATATATGTTTGAAAAACCCAGAATCGTATATCCCGTTTTGGGTGCGATATTTTTAAATATCGCGCTGTAGAGTGCCATATATCGCGCGACGCGAGAAAATATCGCATCGCCAGGGCTAAATTTCAGGGCTAAGTAAACTACGGCAGCAATTTGGATAGTTAGATAACTGGGAACTGCCGAAGGGTTTAAACAGGGGCACAACACAACATTACAACGTCAGTTCTAATAAATAAACAGCAAAAAAAAAAAATGGCGAGCTCCAAATATCGCGGGCGATTTTTTAAATATCGCGAATCGCGTTTTATTGCGCCAATAAAAGTGCGATATAAACGCAATATCGCAAAAATCGTGGGATATAATCGCAGCGCGTCGCCGCGATATTTGTTAAAAAAAAAAAAAACAACAACAAAAACAAAAACAAAAACGCCATCGCAAAATGTGATATAACGCGATGCGATGCGATATGACCATGTCTAGCGGACGGGGGAGTTGGTGGTGGCAGAAAAAGTAGTTTGATGCAAAGAAAAGTTTTAAAAAGGAGGCACATACCGGTGGGGTAGAAGTCAACGATGGGCGACGAGGGGTTGGACATGAGGTTGCGGTACGCCACTGGGAGGGCACCGGAGCTGTCGTGATTCAAGGGGTGGGGATGGATGGGGGGATGGGAGGGACAAGATTGGAAAGCTAGAAACATAAGAGGTTGGACATGAGGCTGCGGTACACCACTGGCAGGGCGCTGGAGTTGTTCCGTTTTCAACGGGGAGGAGATGGGGAGAGGGGGCGAGGGCACCGGGGGAAGGGGGGTTGGAACTTGGAAAGAAGGGAGATGGGGAGGGGGTTGCGATACAGCACTAGGAAGGCGCTGGAGCAGTTACGTGGTAAGAGCAGATGGGGGGAAGGGAGAGGGCAAGAGAATGGAAGGCTTGACGAAGTGGGAGCTCGTGTCATCCTCGTGACACGAGGTTACGGCACCCAAGGCGAGCGCTAGTACTGTTACTCAGCAATGCCAGGCCGCGGCGGGGGGGGGGGGAGAGCGGAAGGGGTTGGGAACGGGGGAATGGGGAGAGAAAATTGACCGGGGCACAGAAGGGGATTGGCATAGTTTGCAACATACTGGACTGTACCGCACCACGCAGCAGTGCATTACACCACATTGCATCGCACCTAGCTGCAGGCAAGACCCCCATGAGCTGGTCAAAGGGCTTGAAGGGTTTGCCGAGGAAGAAGTGGATCTCCAACTCGTCCAGGCGCACGAGGTCTGACGCAAACGGCGCGTAGTGGTACGGGTAGTACCTGGGGGGGAGGGGGGGTTTGGGGAAAGTGGGGGGGAGTGGGTGTGGGGCAAGGAGAGGTGTGGGAAAGGAGTGGATCTAAGGGCGTGTGGCAAGTAATATTCCGCTCCGTTCCGTTCCGCTCCGCTCCCGTCGTCCCGTCGTTGGCTCCGAACTTTGGGAAGGGAGCCCCCGTCGTTGCGCACACTTGCCACACGGGCACTAGTGTACTACCGGCTGCCCAAACTGAAATTTCAGCCCAACCGAGTCTGTCCCTCAAAGTTGTAGATTTTGCAGACCTGGGTTTTCCACTTTTTGCGATGCTCGCCAACCAAACCACTTTCGCCAAAGCTGCCCACACACCCAGACCTTGGCTCGCAAGAGTTTTGGCGTGCTCGGGAATCGGGATTCTTTTTTCCAGCAGCTCTCTGATTGGCTGGGTTTGGTGTTTCCCTGTCAGGTGGCGACGTTGCTTGATTGTGGTTTGTGAATTCGCCAGTGGGCTTGGGGCAGCCAATTTTGTTCTTTCTTTTCTGCCCGTTGTGTATGCCACCTGCCCCGAAACTCCGCTCCGCTCCCATCACGGTGTTTAAACTTCTCTACTTGCCACACGGAAAGTTTCTGCGAACACATGGCGAAACCGCAATTGCGACGGGTTTCCACCTCCTCCGCTCCGCTCCCGTCGTTCCCTTCGTTTTGCATCTACTTGCCACACGCTCTAAGATGGCTCGAAACTGGAATTCCAACTTGTCCAGACGCACGAGGTCAGAGGCAAAAAGCGGGTAGTGGTACTAGACATGCTTAAATCGCATCGCATCGGGTTATATCGCATTTTGCGATAGCGATTTTTATATTTATTTTAAAAACATCTCAGCGATGCGATGCGATAATATCGCGCGATATTTGTGATATCGCGTTTTTATCGCGCTTTTTTTGCACGATAAATTGCGATATGCGATTTAGAAAAATTGCGCGCGATTTTTTCGCGTGATACAATGCGAAACTGGCAGATTTGGGGGGGGGGGGGGGGGGGGGGGGGGAAACAAAGCCCAAAAGGGCTGCCACCAATTCTCCTTGAGAGAACCCCCACCCCAACAATTTCCCAACTCATTTCCCACCTCCCCACTCCCATTCCCAAGCTTCCATGCAAGCTCACCTTGCAAACCATAGGAAGGAACCCCCTTAGCCACAAAGCCACACCTCCACTTAGGCAAAAAAAATCGCATCACATCGCATTTAATCGCGTTTTTGCGAGTGCGGTTTTTTTTTTTTTTTTTTTTAATCATCGCGTGATGCGATGAATTAATATCGCGCGATTTAATTTTAATCGCGCTAAAAAACGCGATTTAAATGCGATATGCGACTTTTTTTAAATCGCGCGCGATGTTGCACTGAAACCCACTACGAAACCACACTAGTTAATTTGCACTCTAGCCTACGACTGCCCATGATTCAATTTCCCAACAGCCATGGTTTTTTTCTGGTTTTTTGGGGTGTTTTTTAATTCTGTTTTAAAACGCGATGCCATTTAAAATCGCATCGCGCGATTTAATTAAATACCGCATGCGATTTTAATATTCATCGCGCGCAAAATGCGATGTGCGATTTTTTTTTTCCAGAAATGAAATCGCGCGATGCGATTTAAAATTGCATCGCATTTAATTCAATCGCCCCCCAATGCGATGCGATTTAAATCGCAATCGCATTTTGCCCATGTTTACCTCCACTCCCTCATTCCTAAGCAAGCATAGATAGGAGCAACAATTTAAACTCCTAGTCTAGGTACCTCTTTAAACTACTTAGGCACAAATCCACACATAGGTTGTCGTTTTCCTTTCGTTGCGCCGTTTTTGCTTGTACGCACCGCACCTTCCCCGACGTGCGGGGTTTAGGCGCCATCGCGTAGCATCGTCCGCGTGGCACGCGAGTGTGACGGCAACGGCTAGGGGGTTTCGGGTTTATAATAGATTGCCCTTTTTAGAGCTGTTTTCATCGCTAATCCGACCATCAGGCGTGCCTTGCTGTAGGGTTTTAGCCCGGAGGCTCCAAATCCACGCCCATAGTCCGGCGCAACCTTCTCAACTTAGCCCGTAGGGTCTAGGGGGGTTATTGCAAGTAGGATTTGGGAAGACGATGGGTCCGCGTGCTCGCGGTCCACGCGGTAGGGCGGGGCGGAGTGGCGGAGGCGCTATGGCGGCGCCACCGGGATGACGACGGTTGAAGCGCGAGCTCAGCGCAGGCAGCAGGACGAGCTCACCTCCGGCTCTGCGCACACTGGAGCGGATGGCGGAGGGGAGTTGGTGGTTGGCGGCGGTTGCCACGGAACTCAGGGCAGTGCCGCTAGAGGTGCGGGTGCTGCCCTCCAGGTGGAGGGGGTGGTCGTGAGGGTGGAAGAGGAAGACAAGCACGCCTGGCGACTCCGAGCTACGACGGATGGGGAAGGGGGGGGGGGCAGCAGGGCGATGGGCATGCGGGGGTGGGAGGGCGACGTCGGGGAGGCAGGAGGGGGGGGGAAGGAGGATGAGGGGGAGGACGATGATGGGGGGGAGGAGGAGGAGGAAGAGGAGGTGGAGGAGGATGAGGAGGATCAGGAGTACAACGGAAAGGGGGATGAGGAGGAGGGTGATGAGGAGGAGGTGGATGGGGATGATGATGAGAAGGAAGAGGGGAGGGGCGCTGGAGAGGCCTTTGGTGGAGGGATGGAGGGGTCCAAAGGGAAGCGCAAGACTGCAATGGCCTCCGACCTCTCCGGGGGTAAATTTGGGAAGAAGGTTAAGGCGTCAGGGAGGGAGGGGGGGGGGGGGTATAGACGAGATGACGCGGGGGAGGGGGAGGGGGAGAGGGAGTGGGCAAGGTAATGGGAGGGGCAAGGGGAGAGGGAGAGGTGGAGGAATGGCAGGGGCGGGGTTGGGACCAGGGCTGTCGATTGGTTTGGGACCAATACTTGAGTGGCTGAGGTCCCCCGAAAACAGCCCTGAAATTAGGGATGAGCAAACTACCCGACCGGGTCGGGTACCCGATACCCGGACCCGCTTTTAGGGCGGGTCCGGTATCAGAAATCCTGGATAATACCCGGCGGGTCGGGTCCGGATTACCCGGGCGAGTATTCAATACCCGGTACCCGAAATGCTACCCGACGCGTCGGGTAGCGGGTACCCGACCCGAAATCGGGTAGCGGTCTACCCGACGGAACCAGCGAGACATTAGTCGCGCTGTTAGAGAAAATTCATCACTTAGGTTACGTGAGCTGCTAGGTCACTTAGAACATTGTAGATTGGCAGGGGTTGGGTTACGTAGATACAGATGCATTCAGAGTGGTTGAATTGGGCGAAATTGGTTGGAAGTCAAACCAATCGAATTTCCCCAATCCAATTTGCAACCCAACCTGAATCACAGCACCACATTTGTTGGAGTTCCAACCAATTGACTCTGGGGGTCAAAGAATCAAACCCCCAAAAACCGCACACAACTCCATCCCACCTAGAAAACCCAACCAACTCCCCACCAGGCCCCACGCACGACCCCACTCATCACACCAGAACTGTTAAAGATTTGGTGCACCTCATACTCCCTCCCGCAGCTCACGTTTTTTTAAGCACCATCTAGGTCGTAGGCTTAGTAGCCCAACAGGGTAGAAAAACGCGGGTAATACTACCCGCTTTTCAAGGAAACCGGGTCGGGTATACCCGGACGCGCCAGGCGGGTATTAAATTACCCGCCCCCCAAATCCCGGGTCCGGGTATTGGTCCTGGGCATATTACCCGACCCGTACCCGACCCGAAAATACCCGACCCGAAGTCGGGTATAGCAAAACCGGGTCGGGTCGGGTAAATACCCGGTTTTGCTCATGCCTACCTGAAATTTCCGGAAAGCGACCAAACTGAGCCCTGAAGCGTACGGGTTGGGGTCCAAACCAGAACTTAAAATCAGGGCTGCGCCGGAGTCTGTACTTTGCTGGAAAGAAAAAAAAAAACTTCGTAATCGTACATCAGGTTAGGCAAGATGCTGAGTGAGTGGGGAGGCCAGCCTATTTTAGCAGGAGAATTTGTGTGCCAAATGTGTTAGTAGTGCACATTTCTCAGTTATTCATAGGTGTCACGGACTTGGCCAGTTTCTGGGATGCGGGAGTGTGTGAGAGGGGCTTGTGACTCGCTTTGGAGACGGCAAAAAAAAAAAAAAAAATCGGTGGAGATGGGGGAGGGGGAAGTGGGGGTGTGGGAGGAGGGGATGTTGAGTATTGTCTCGGGCTGTGGAGGCTTGTCGAATTCTCTGGGGGTGCGAGGGGGTTGGGAGGAATGTCTGTGGGTGTGGGGAACTTCATCGATTTTCCTATGTTTGGTTGGGGTGTGGGAAGAATGTCTCTGGTTTGGAGGACTTAGAGAGGAATTTTCTGGCTGGGGGGATTCTCTGGGAATGCGAGGGGTGTGGGAGGAATGTCTCTGGGTGTGAGGGACTTCGAGGATTTTTCTGAGTTCGGTTGGGATGTGGGAGGGATGTCTCTGGTTTGGAGGACTTCGCCAAATTATACTAGTCGAAGGGGAAGGTGGGGTGGTGTGGGTGGGCAAGGAAGGTATGCCTAGGTCAGGGTATGTCAAGACTCTGTTGCGGAAAATCAGGGAAAGGCCTCAACTCCCCCCTGAACAAATCCGGGAAAGGGCCGAACGAAACCCTTAACCATCACGGGCTAGTCCCGAATCAAACCCGTAAAAGTCGGACCCTGACGGACGGCTTACCCGGAATGTTCAGGGCATTAAGGGCATTTGCCCTTGAATCGACAGGCCTGGTTGGGACAGAGGGGGAGGTCCGGGATGTCACCTGGCCATCTACATGCGGATGGTCAGGGGGGGAAGGCTGGTGGTGGCGGAAAGAAGGGCGCTGCAAGGGGAGGCACCGGTGCGAGGAAGGGGGAGGGGGGAGACGGCACAGGCCCATGGGTCTGCACTGGCTGGGGGAAGGGGGGGGAGAAGGATCCATCCACCCCGTATTGTGGGGCAGTGCTTCGGCAAGATCGACCTGGGACATCCTTGTTCGCATGGGGCGGTCGGGGGAGGTGAAGGTGGAGGATAAGATACCTCGAGGCGGGTTTGGGGTGGAGGGTGAGGTGCCCGACCGGGAGGGTGGGTGGGCCGGATGAGCCACCTAGCCGATCTTGCCTGATGAGGGGGAGGTGATTGGGGGCCCGGTGGACAGGAGGGGCATCAGGCGTTTATTTCAGAAGCCCATGGACTTGGAGCGGTTCGAGCAGTTACTGGTCGAGTGCATTGTCGACACTGACTCACCATTTAGCACCGTCGAGCGAGACACCATACGTAATACTATCCCCCGCCCTCTAGAATGCTTGCTCATTCTCGTGGCGTTGAGACTATGCAATGCTTTCATTTCACCGAGAGTCTAGGACGCCTGTCTCGCACGTTCCAAACCCTTGGCGTGCCTCCATAATTCCTGCCCCCACTTGCTATCCTTCCAGTTCCGCCGCATGATGGCCAAGGCTAACCCGCAGTTGGGGGAGCTGGGGGCCATTCCATCGCGGCACAAGTTGGCCCGTATGTCCATCTCGTTCACGACGGACATCTGGTCGACGGAGAACAAGTTGGGGTTCATGGGCATTAGCATGCACTACATCGACGCTGAATTCAAGCTACGACAGGCGACGCTCGACTTCCGACGCCTGGCGGCCGAGCACATAGGAGAGACGGTGGCGAAGATCTTGGAGGAAGTGATTGAGGAATGGGGGCTGACGGACAGGTGCATGGCACTGCCCACTAACAGCGCATCTGTCAATGGGGCGGCGTTCAACCTTCTGAAGAAAGATTGGCGGGCGGATGGCGAAGTGCGATTGGTTCCCATCTTTGGAGGCGGCGCGCACGTCTGGTAAGAAAACCACATTTCACCATCTGTGTGTCCATTTTATGGTTTCATTGCGAGCACAAGGGTTTGTGTTTCCCTAGTGATGGCCACTTCAACTCTCTTCCCTATGCTGCAGATGCATCGCCCACGTCTGCAACATTGCAGTCCAGGCAGCAATAACTGGGGTGCCGCAGGTCGGCACGCCACTCAGGAAGCTGGGCGGCCTTGCGTCGCGCATCGGCTTCTCGAAGACCAAGACTGCGGCCTTCGAGAAGGAGCAGCGCCACCAAAACCCCACCAAGCAGGCTGTCGAGCTGAAGCAGGACAACCCAGTGTGATGGGGTTCGACGCACGCAATGATCAAGAGGGCTCTTGATCTCACAAACCCCATCGTCGTCTTTGTCAGTCGTGAGGTGAGCCTTCAGCTGGGTTGGCGTGGGTGTAGTCATGCCGCACATTGAGCGGTCTCTCATAACGCTGGTCCGCTCGCGCTGGGAGGAGTACAAGAAGGATATTGATGCGGCCGCACGGTTGCAGGCGGCCATGGCGGAAGGGGTTGCGATGCGACTAGGGGTGGGGAGGAGGAGGAGGATCAGGGAGGGGAGGTGGATGAGGACTTGGGGGTGTTCGCACATCTTAGGGCAGTGCGTGCCAGGCCGACACAGCAGGCCAAGAACGAGATCGAGCGGTACTTGGAGCTCCCCCTCCTAGAGTTGCACAAGTGCCCTTTGCGATTTTGGCATTACCACACCGAGCTTCCAGCGCTGCGGCGGATGGCGATGGACTACCTTGCCATCCCAGCCACCTCCGACCCTTGCAAGCGACTGTTCTCACAAGGCCGCAACCTCATTCACTCGCCGCGGCACCGCCTTGACAGGGAGTGCATCCAGGCTTGCATGATGCTCAAGTCTTGGATTGCCTCTCACCCGGGGGAGCGCCTTGATGGCGGCGTGGACGACACGGCCATTGATCTCGGCCTGGAGATCGGGCCTAGGTTGTGAGGGGTGTTTTCGAGACTTGATATCTGTGTTCTTTATGTCCGTTTGTTTAACCTCTCCTGCAGGCATCTCCCACCTAGGCTTGAGCAAAACCGGGTAATTACCCGACCCGACCCGGTTTTGCAATACCCGACCTCGGGTCAGGTATTTTCGGGTCGGGTCCGGGTCGGGTAATATGCCTAGGACCCTTACCCGGACCCGGCCTTAGGGGGCGGGTAATACAATACCCGCCTGGCGGGTCCGGGTATACCCGACCCGGTTACCCTGAAAAGCGGGTAATACTACCCGCCACCTACTAGTGGACATCCTAAAGTTGGGCTAGGCTAGATAGGGTTCCTGGAAACGCGACTCTCAAATGAGAGTCGCGTTTTCTGGGGGTCGAATTTTGACCACCCAACTCCCTCCCTTTCACCGCACTGAACTCCTCCCCGTCTACAAACTCCAATTTCCAACCAAACTCCCTCCCTTTCACCGCACTGAACTCCTCCCTGTCTACAAAATCCAACATTTCCAACAAAACTCCCTCCCTTTCACCGCACTTAACTCCTCCCCGTCTACAAACTCCAATTTCCAACCAAACTCCCTCCCTTTCACCGCACTGAACTCCTCCCTTTCTACAAACTCCAACATTTCCAACAAAACTCCCTCCCTTTCACCGCACTGAACTCCTACCCATCTACAAACTCCAACCTCTTCTCCAACTCGCACCCAACTTCCTCCCTTTCACCGCA